CCTTGCGGCATTACTAGCCACTCCCAAAGCATATCGCTTGGGGTGCTTACCGCCGTGAGAGGGATATCGCTCTCACGCATCAGGGTCTGATAGCACCCGTCTCTCAGATCAAGAGCACTGTAGATCGTGCTCTAGGACATCGAATCGAAGATGACATTTTTTCGAGATATCGGCGTCTGTGCCGGTATCGTCGCATCGTTCAGCTTATTGTACGCATGAACGATGCGCCAACCACCCTGTGGCTCCTTGACACAGAACATTGGTGTGCTGTGCGGGGACTTTGATTCCCGCACATGTCCTGCCTTGCGACGACTTTCGAAGAAGTCGTCGATTGCCTTCACTTGCTCCCGCAGCGGTGGCCACTGCCATGTCACGCAATACTTCGTCCCCGACACAAGATCATTCTCATGCTGTATTCCCTTGGCCTGCGGAAACTCCGCAGGGATCTCGTCCGGGAGCACATCTCTGTGCTCTCGCAGAATCTCGTAATAAGGACTTGACATCTGTGACTTCCCAACAATGATCCTCGTAGCGTTCCTTCTTCGTACTGAGGGTATCTTCACTCTCAGTGGCGCTTCCAGCAAAGAGTTGTCACAACTCCTCTGCTGCGCTTGTCATTCTTTCGCGGTCAGAAAGAATACATAGCTCCATCGTACCGGTCCTTTGCGAAGCGCTTCCAGCTCATGACTGGAAGCGAGGTCAACTTCGACGTATCAGTCGGAGGGCTCTCCAACTCCATCTTCTTGTACACAGGCCCGCCTCAAAACGGTTAACGGCCCCTGTCGGCTCTTGTGTCTGCCCAGCAGCCATACCTTGAAGAGTCTCGGTCCCAGACCAAGACTTGCGCAGCGTCGTGTGCATGCGCCGTCGCTTCTTCTTGTGAATCCCAGATTCACTTGCGTTTCGTCTAGGCCCGGCCATGGACGAATGTCCCTTGATACCGCAGGCAGACATTCCAGTCTGCGGGCGACCGCCGGCGGGTTCTTATACCCGCGGGCACGCGTCATCAAGACACGACAGCACGCATGCTTCAGTGTTCGACGATTGCAACCGTCCACACAGCTTGTTGCCTCGACTCCCGGAGTCGATGGATTGTCGTCACCTCTTCCCCTTATGGCGGAGTAGTGTGTCGCAACTCCCGGAGTCGACACGCTGCTGTCACCTCGACGTTTTACGGCGGAATACCCTCTCGATTTCGTTATCGAGTGCGTGTCAACTCCTGGAGTCGACACGTTGTTGTCACGTCGACGCCTTACGGCGGAAAGTTTCTTCGTTGTGTCTGACCCCTGACCAGACACTCCTTTTCTGTTAACGACTCCTGGAGTCGTTACAGCTCGCGCGCTCCGCGCTCTACGACCGGAGACAGCGGCGCGAGCCACTACCTCTGACGGAGGTTCGGATGCACCGTTAGGTGTATCCGCTGCGCTAACAGGACCATCGCTCTCTGTTGCGCCACGGCGTGCGAAGCGTACGGCCGTACGCTTCTCCCAGTCGATAATAGGATCATGGCGTGCAAGCTACGGCATGCCCAACACCGTGTCGAACTTGTCGTCCAAGTCCAGGACGATAAGTTCTTCCACAAACATCCGGTGTTTGTGCGAGAAGTGTGCGCGAATAACGCGCTTCTCGGTCTTTACGATAGCGCCCGTTGCCAATCGTACTTCCAACTGACTTCGAGGCACATGCTTCTCCTCGAAGTCCAACAAGGGTAGACGTTGCTGTCGAACAAAGTTGTTCGACGCGCCCGAGTCAACCAACACCCGAAGAGAGTCCGCTCTTCTTGTCGTCGACTTCACCTTCGAGATGACAAGATTTGGCATGTCATCTTGCACTTCACAGTGCGTTTCTCTCTCACTGGGGGATGCAGTCCTCAATACAGCATGTCCGTTGTAGACACGCGTGACTGCATTTCCAGTAGGGCGCCCCGCGCCTACTGATCCCTTGCGTTTTTGGTTCGACCGTGACGATACCCAGTATCGCCACTTCGACCTTGGCTTGAATGTACTGGTGCCGTACACTCACGTGCGTAGTGATTCATGTTTCTGCACCGGAAGCAGCATCGCACGTTGTTTCCCTTGTTCTTCTGCTGTCCCACAGCAGATGTATATGAAAGATCCATTAGTTCGGAGCCTTCCGTCTTAGCAGCCGGCCTGAAACAGGCTAAACTCCTCTTGCATTGCGAGGGTAATCGCAGCTTCGATAGTACTCGGGTACGCTCGGAAGAGATAGGTCTTCACAGGCCATCCCTCAACCCCTTCATGAATGTGACGACCTTGGTCGCCTCGTGGGTCGGGTAGGTCACGACGTTCGAGTCCAAGTACAGAGCCCGTTGGACGTAAGTATGTACATAATGCTTACCATGTTGCAGGTCGAGACACCCCGCTCTCGATCGGAACTCGTTTTGTGGGGCTCAAACGCGAGTTTGAGCTCCTCCTTGAAGGATACGTACGTGCTGAAGCACGTAGGATCAGTGAGTCAGCGCCCGTAGGCCCAACACCTCGCGCGTCCGCCAAGACAAGACATGGCGAAGGCGACTTGCGCCAATGGGCCGACGAGACGTCGAGCCATTACGGCAGTGTCAAGTTCGACAAGCCACCGGAGAAGGGTCTCACCTTCTCTGCCCATGTAGTTACTGACACGTAACATCAGGTATTCCTTCTGCGGTGTCTCCCCCGGAGACACTGGCTTCGCGGCAGCAACCTCGCGTTGCTCTCTCATGATGAATCCCAGAGCAACAGCATGTTGCTCTGTCGGCGATAGCATGCGCAGCATTGTCGCTACGGCCGCCTCTCCAATGACTGTTGACAGTCGTTGGAGCGCCTCCCACACTGGGTCCGCCAGGTGGGGGCAGTCTGTACGCGCCACATGCGACTACCTTGTTCGTATGAGTCACGAACTCGGGCAAGTCTGTTATTCTCTTGCGCGTGTTAGTGACGCATACGAACAAGGTAGTCGGTCCCGGGACGGACTACTAAGTGCTACCAGGAGGAGTGGGCCTAGGGCTCACTAGTTAGCTTACACGTGTGCGCACGTGTAGGGGGTGTTAGACTGCCACTTTAGTAGTTAGCCGTCAGTTTTGTAGTGAGGAGGAAATTAAAACGGGCGCGATATACCACGCGTCCTCCTCGCCATTAACATCCCGCAGCAAAGTACCACGCAATAAGAGACCTAATAAAGTAACAAGATGTTTAACCTTTTCTTATTGGTGGAAATATGGCAACATATTTAACCTATCAAAATAGACTTGTAACAGGAGGAAGCGTAGGTGTTCCTAGGTTGTATAGCGTACACACGATGCGTGTGTACGGTGAGACAAGATAGGAGCAAGATAGCGTAAAATGAGAAATATATTGCATTCTTTAAGGCACGTGATGCTGCGCCCGACAAAAATTCATGCGACGAGGTAATTTTACCCGACAAGTGTACGACGAGACCCGACTGCGTACCCGACAAGAAAGAGCATGTATACACTTCGTGTGTATAGTCGGATAT